AGGACTGATAAAGTTATTTCCTTTTAAGTCTGTCTGCCTGTCGTCTTTGAACGAGCGAAGGAGGGGGGTCAGAACACCCAAACTAGGTAACATCATCAGTGCTAGTGATCAGACTAGTTTCTAAACTAGGTAATTCCATCAGACTAACACTGACCACGTTACCTAGTTTAGATAATGAAACTGTTTCTGGCAAGAAAACAAGGAAGCTCAGAAGGCACCAAGGACCCCTCAGATCAAATTTCAACTCAGCATCTCTTCTGAATGTCTAGACTAGTGTTTCTCAGACTTGGCCCCATTGAAGATAGAACACCCAGAATCCCACAGCCAGCCAGGAAACACCCCTTTAGATCAAAGGCGGGTTCCTACCGGGATGGTACGGTTCGGCCGAATAGGTAGTAACTCCAGCAGACACGTGGCCGTACCGGTTCTATCCTCGGCGGCGCCATCTTGATTTTCTGTTCTGCACATGCGCACAACAATCTTCATTGAAAAAAATGTAATTTTTATTCCTTTTTTTAATGTTGTGCACATGCTCAGACAATTTTAAGTGCAAATGAGCACACACGCCGAGCGTGCGTTTGCCGTGCACGCAACATTTTTCGGCCGCCAAACTGGTAGTAATGGCAGCAGAAACCCGCCCCTGCTTTAGATGCAGTAGACTACATTTCAGTAGCCAAATGAGCATGAAGCATTGTTCTGTACATCGGGACTTTGGTAAGAAGACAGAGGTAACCAGAGATATATCTGAGTGTTGGCTTTTTAAAGTAAAGTATATATTGAGAAATATTATAGGAAGGATAACCGTAGTATTTCCCATCTTACGTGTGCTCCCAAGTACAGCAACAACATCACTTTCACTTTCATCATCAAAGAGGGCCACCAAGGACACCTCGTATTCCATATTGGGTAGCAAGCCTTCGATCTCGTAAGTGTCCACATCTCCACTTAAGATGATCTGAAACAGATAGAATGGGAGGTTTAAGAAGGCAGAGAGGTGAAATATAGTCCTTTTGGAACCTGCCCAGGGAGATCTAGCTCATTTTCCGCATTCCAGACACATTGATAAATGTTCTTCACATCCCTTGATGAACTAATTGATCTGCATTGAACACCCATTAAGCATGCTCATTCTTCATTTAGTTCCTTTAGTTGTCGACTCCCTAAATTTGTACTAATTTATTACTGATTTCTTAAACACATTTATACAACTGCCCAATTCACACCTAGGTGATTCCAGAAAAGTTTTTTAAAATTTTGCCATATATAGTAAAAATCCATTTTTAAAAATCTATCCATAACCCCAGAGGAGCAACGGCCCAATAAAATCAGTCACTCAATAAACTCCAGTTCCATTCATAGTCTGTCAGGCCTGGAAGCTATCTTTTGCATTGGGCCTACAGGCCTGCCACATTCGATGCTGTGGGAAAATGGGAGGGGATTATATGGGGTATGGGAGGTATAGTCAAAATAACAGTCCTTTCTCAGAGAGAGTCAAGGACATCTTGCCTAGCACCTGGAGTGGTGTGACTGGGAGGCATCTCCAGTTGGGACGGTGCCTGATTGGACCATGTGATGGACATGTGGGTGCTGGGCAGGAACTTCAACTTTCATTTGGGTGGGAAAACCTTGGCAGCTTTCAGATTCGGGTTTTCCCAGGTGTGCCAATATGATTATCTCTAATAAAATAAATATTAGACACTCTAATAAAACGTCTTTCGTTAGGGGTGTTACTTGGAACCCTGAAATAGTCCCAGGACCACTGAAAAGTCATGTTTTGGAAACCTTTTGGGAAAGCAACAGGGTGGGGGCCAACCATACCTCAGGAGAAGGTGCAAATACTTGTGCAAATATTCCTTGAGGCATTTTCCTCAAAGACTTTCTCTTTCTCACACTGTTTTGGCTTCATAAGAATCTGAGTAGATGAGTTTTTAAATAGAATAGAGCAAAAGAGAGCCACTTTGGTCCAGTTGTTGAGACACCACACTACAAAGTGGGAGACTGTGAATTCTAGTCCCTCCTTAGGCACAAAAGTCAGCTGGATGACTTTGGGCCAATCATCAGGAGACCATGAGTTCTAGTCCCACCTCAGCCACGAAAGCCAGCCGGGTAACTTTGGGCCGATCATAAGGGCCGCTGAGTTCTAGTCCCACCTTAGGTATGAAAATCAGTTACATAACTTGGGGCTTGTCACTCTCTCTCAGCCCAACTCACGTCACAGGGCTGTTGTTACGGATAAAATAGGAGGAGGTATATGTGTTGGATACAGAATATTTGCTGCCTTGAGTTATTTGTAAAACTAATAAAAACAGGATGCAAATAAATAAATAAATGGACAATCAATTGCTTGCATGCTTTTCACAAATGTACATCTATTTCATCATCCCGACTACCGAGACTCTGCTTCTTAAAATGGACAAACCACAGTCCATCACCAGCAGTTCAGCTTGCTGTAACAAAAAGCATGTGAGGGCCAAGGACATCCTTACCTCATCAGCTTCTTCGCCAGTCAATGGAATCCATGCTAGACGGTAAAGAGCCACATCAGAGGATGGTGGCTTCCAGCTTACTGTTAAACTTTCAGTAGATACTTCAATGATTTCCAAAAATTCAGGTGACGGAACTTTCTCTGCAAGATAGAGAGAAAAAAAACAGAAAGATTCCAAATGTGTCTCAAACTTTGTTAATTTAACTTTGTTCCCTAATCCCCAGAGCTCACTGAAACAGCATTGCCAAAAAGGCATTAAGAGTTGTTAACCTAATTTTGCGAAGCTTCTTCTCCCGTAACATTGTACTGCAAACTAGGGCATACAAAACCTTTGCCAGACCAATTCTCAAATACAGCTCATCTGCCTGGAACCCACACTGTATATCGGACATTAATACAATTGAGGGAGTCCAGAGGTATTTCACCAGAAGAGTCCTCTGCTAACAACAGAATATCTTATGCCACCAGGGTTGAAATTTTGGGCTTGGACAACCTAGAACTACACCACCTACAGTCTGACCTAAGCATAATACACAAAATTGTCTGCTACAGCATCCTACCTGTCAATAACTACTTCAGCTTCAACCGCAATAATACACGGGCAAACAATTGATACAAACTCAAGGTAAACCGCTCCAAACTCAATGGCAGAAAATATGACTTCAGCAACAGAGTGGTCAATGCCTGGAATGTACTACCTGGCTCTGTTGTTACATCCCCGTAACTTTAACATTAAACTTTCTACTGTGGACCTCACCCCATTCCTAAGAGTCTGTAAGGGGGTGTGCATAAGCGCATCAGCATGCCTACCATCCTTGTCCTACTGTCCCCATTTATTCGTATCAATTTCCTGTGTCCATGTCCATGTTTATACTTATACCTGTTAGCTCGTACATGTTTGACAAACTAAATAAATAAATAAATAAATAAATATAAACAAATAAATAATAAATAAATAAATAAATAAATAAATATCTGAAATTGCTTCCAATACTATGGAATGTAAACAGATGCACTAAACTTTCTACAGAATGTTTAAAACTTGAACTGATTGGCCACTGCATATATTACTGTACTAAAAGCAATGTTCGTGAAACAATAACCATTTACGGGTCGTCCTCAATTTCTAACATTTCCATTGCTAAGCAAGATGGCTGTTAAGTCAGTTGTGCCCCATTTTATTACCTATTTTGCTACAGTTCTTAAATGAATCACTTCAGTTGTTAAGTGAATTATACAATACAATACAATAAAATAGCAGAGTTGGAAGGGACCTTGGAGGTCTTCTAGTTCAACCTCCTGCCTAGGCAGGAAACCCTATAC